GACACTATAAAATATTTTTCAAAGAGGTTGTATTATTTTATAGTTTTATTAATTACATATGAAACTTTTAACTCCTTTGTATCCTCAACAAAATTTGATGTTCTTAACCTTTTTCATTTAGCTATTTTAGTGGTTATATCGTGTTCTTTACTTTTTTATTTTCTTTATGACTCATAATAGAAAACACATTCTCATTTTTATTAGCTGTTTTAAAATTTTATTAACTGACAAATAATTGTATTTATTTATAGGATACAATGTTGTGTTTTATTAAATCAGGCTAATTAATGAATTTTTGTGGTAACACTTTTCAAATATATCTGTTCAGCAATTTTCAAACATAGCCTCCACTCTGTGAAATAGGTCACTAAAATTATCCCCATGTAAATGAAACTTGTACCCTTTAATCACCATCTCCCTTTTCCCGTTTCACTTCCTCTTCTAGCTTCTGATAACCACCATTCTATTTTCCACTTCTAATGAATTTAACTTGTTCAGACTCCACATGATTGCCCAATCACATAGAAATTCTATTTTCAGCTTTCTCACAAACCTGCATATCGTTTTCTTTAAAGGTGGTATCAATTTACATTCTCACCAGTAGAGCACAAGGCTCCCTCTTTCTCTATACCCTGGGTAATATTTGTTCATCTTGCTAAATATAAGCATTACGGTAGGTGTGAGATAACATTTCATTGTATGTTTTGATTATAATTTCCGTGATGATTTGTGATAATGAACATATTTTCATATCCTTATTGGCTATTTGAATATCTTCTTTTGAGAAATGTCTGTGGAGATCCTTTATTTTCTGATTGGGGTATATGTTTTGTAGCTATTGGGTTGTTTGATTTTCTTATGTATTTTGGATATCAGGCCCTTGTCCAACATATAGTTTGCAAATATTTTCTCCTAATCCATGGGGTATCTCTTCACTTTGTTTCTTTTGCTGTGCAGAATCCTTCTAGTTTGATATTTTCGCATTTGCCATTATTTCCTTTTTTGCCTCTGTTTTGTGGGTCATATAAAAAAAATTGTTCAGAAAAATGCCCTGAAGTAACTCCTCTATTTTATTTTGGTAGTTTCTAAGTTCTATTCTTACATTCATTTTGTGTTGGTTTTTGTATGTGGTAAAATAAGGGTGTATTAGATATGCATTCCTACAATAAAATATTTGATACAAGAGTTTCTTTTGCTCAAGTTTTGGAAATACAACTCTAAGAGGGGTTCAGTGAGCCACTTTATTAATTAGCTTTCTCTTGTGACAAAATATCTAAAAACAAAACAACTTAAAGGAGGAAACATTTATTTTGCCTTATGGTTTCATAGTGTCCACTACATATTCAGCTGGCTCCATTACTTTAAGGCCGTCCTGAGGCAGAAACAGAACTGTGCAATGGCATGGCAGAGAAAAGCTGCTCACCTCATTATACCTAAGAATGACAGTAAGAAAGACCCTGTGCTAGTGGACTTCCTTCTGCTTTTGCTCCATCCAGGTCTCCCTGCCTATTGGAGGGTGCTGCCTACTTAACGCATGCCCCCTACTCGTCAGTTCACTATCATGCCAGTGAGCTTTGGGATCACCATCACAGACAAACCCAGAAATATGCTTTATTAATTTTCTACACATTTCTTAACCCAATCAAGTTGACAATCAAGATCAATCTTCACAACCAGGGCACTACATTTTACCAGGGCACAGCCCAGTCACTGAAGGACTGCTACAAGGCCTCATTTCACCAGGGTTATATCATCTGCCAATAGTGCTGTCCTGGGACCAAGCTTTAACATATGGGCCTTTGGAGACCTTTGAAAATTCAGTGTACTGAGAGGTTTAGTTTCTTTCTTTCTTCTACATATGGGTATTGTTTTTCCAGAACCATTTATTGAAGAGACTTTCTTTTGTCCAATGTATATTCTTGTTGCCTTTGTCAAAAACCAGATGGCTATAAATACATGGATTTGTTTCTGCATTTTGTATTTTCTTCTGTTGCTCTTCATGCCTGTTTCTAGGCCATACCAGCCATCTTGATTTATGGAATATTTCATACTCAGTTACTATAATGATGTTCTGTTTTATTCTTTTATCTTGGGATTGTTTGGACTAATTTGTTCTTTTATTGTTCCATACAAATCGTAAGATTTTTTTTCTACTGCTGTACAGCATTTCATTGTTATTTGATGGGAATTACATTGAACCTGTGGATCACTTTGAGTAGTATCAGTTCTTCATTTAGTGAATGTCTGATGTCTTTTCATTCATTCTTATGTTTATTCTTTTAGTGGAATTTGTGTTTACATAAGCTCTCATGATTTTTTTTTTGGTACCAGGGATCGAACTTGGGTCCTTGCGCTTGTGCAGTAGGTGGCGAAACCACTGAGGTAAATCCCCGGGCCTCTCATGATTGTTTTTATTCTTCCTCCTCTTCTTGGTTTAAGTTTGCATTAAGTATCTTCTACGATGCTGGTCTGGTGGTCATGAATTCTCTTGGTTTATATTTATATTATAAGGTTTTAATATTTCATCTGGTTCTGAAGAATAACCTTGCAGCATACAGTAATCTTAGTTGGCTGTAGGAGTCAGCCTATGAGTTTATCCCAACAAGGGGAGTGAATGAGGGTTAAAGACAAAAGACACAAAGATAATTTGAAAGAGGAGGACCAGGGGACTTTTGCTTCTAGCGGATAAAGAGCCCCGATCTGGCAGTGGTTCTCACTTTTATTAGACTCACAGGAAGAAGAAGCAAGCAAGCATGTGATCCAGGGTTCAGGAAAAGTTTATCAGGTTCTCATAATTTACAGACTGTGCCCAAGTGTATATTTCCTTTGATCAGACTTCAGCTGTAGTTGATTCTCTCCTTGAACATGGCTGGTGTTGGCATGTTAGCGCACAGCCTGAGAGGGATGATGGCTTGCTATCTTCTCCCCTGTGTCTCAAGGAGAGTTCAACCCAGACCTTGGTCTTTATACCTGGTTTCCTGCATTGGCATTATTTTTTTCCAGTGCTTGAAGGGATGATACAAGACCACAATGCATGTTTAAATTTTAAAAAATTGCTACAGTTAAAGACACATTGCCATTAATCTCCCTTAAAATATTCCCCCTCACTTTGCACACAGTTATCCTGTCATTCTTGCCACTTTCTGAAGTAATTCTGAAAGTCCACTTTCATGAGTGTCTTTATGAAGCATGAAAAATATGCTAAATGCTGCTGCGAACTGCCATCCAGCAGAGAGGCAGGCTCATAAAAACACTGGGATATGTCCTCCGTCACCTCATTCACTGAACCGTGCTCCAGGGCAACTTCTGGCTATTCTCCAAAGTCAAAATGGCTGTGAAAGGTAACCATTTTTAATCAATTCAGGACATTAAGGCAGCCATAACAATGGAACTAAAGATACTCATGAAAAAGGACTTCCAGACTTGCTTCAGAAAGTGGTAAGAAAGAAGAAATAATGTGATTGAAGCAAGGGGGAATATTTTGAGCAGATTTGTGGCAACTTAGCTTTTACTGTAATAAATTTTAAAAAAATTAACACACACCATATTTTCCAGTCATGTCTCATACATTATTTTATGCTGTCTTGGCCAGTAGAATTTCTTCTGAGAAACATGTTGTTAATCTGATGGGTTTTCCTTTAAATGTGACCTGGCATTTCTCTTTTGAAGCTTTTAACTCTGTACTTTAAAAAATTTAACGATGTTATGTTGTGTAGAGGTTCTTTTAAATCCATGTCTGCTTTGGGTTTTAAATACCTCCTGCACTTGGATGACCATATTCTTACAGAGATTTGGAAATTTTTTTGCAATTACTTCACTGAGTAGGTTTTCTATGCCCTTTGCATGTAGCTCTTCTTCCTCTGCTATGCTGATTATGTGGAAATGTGTTCTTTAAACATTGTTTTAGAGATAGATCTTCTATTATTCCTTCATTCTTCCTTTTTTTAAGATAGCAAGATTTTACATTTATTAAAGATAGGAAAAGAAACAGGTTCTGCAGAGCGAATTTGGGCCCAGTAAAAGTAGGAGAAGAAGTACATCCTATATAGCATTAGCTTGGACTACCATGAAAGAACACAATGGCTATTCTTTTTTTTCTTTGTTCCTGTCTGAATGTAATGTTATACCAGATTTGTCTTTAAGGTATTCTTTCTTCTGCTTGATCAAAAATGAGACTTTCTAGAGGCTTCTGGGCCGCCATTCCACTGATCTCATCTCAGAGGTAGGGGCTTCTGGGCTGCCTTTCCACCACTCCCAGCCTAGAGGAAGGGGCTTCCGGGCCACCATTCCACCACTCCCAGCCCAGAGGAAGGGGCTTCCAGGCTGCCATTACACTGCTCCCAGTGCAGAGGAGGTGAGCTGTGGAGGCACCAACAGCACCACCCTCTCTGCACTGAAATGAGAAGACACATAAACAAGTCTCAAAATGAAACTTCCAGATCACCTACAGTGACCCCAAAGGGAAAGGAACAGGAGCACTCTGATATTCAACCACCTAGACTCCCTGAACTGGCAACAAAAGAGGATCTGGAAAAAATGAAATCGGAAATAATTTCTCAGAAAGTGATACAGGGGAAATGTTCCACACAGTAATGTTGGAAAGACATAAAATCCTTAACATTCAAGAAATGTGCTTCAGAGAAATTCAGACAAATATACATGACTTCAAGTGTCCATGGAGAGAGGATAAAAGAGTTGACACAGGATTATGTGTGACTCAGAAGGAAAATCTCACTGATAGAAGAGACAAACATGATAGAAATGGAGGAATGAAACATCTTAAAAACTGGCATGGATTAAGCTTTCAATCACATCTGCCTGAACAGCAGCTATTTGAAACAGAAAGGAACATTAATGAGTGGAGTTACTTTGAGCAGTCTATTAGCAGTGATTCCTCAGTTTCATCCCACCAGAAAAATCCTTCTAGTGTCAAAACAAACATTTCTCATGTGTATGAAAATGATTTTCTTGATTCTTTATTTTTCACCCAAGAACCAGTGATGCACATTAGTACAAAACCTTTCAAATGGACTGAGTGTGACAAGTCTTTTAACCAAAGATCATGCTTTAATATGCATCAGATAGTCCATGCTGGAGAGAAACAATTTCTATGTGATATATGTGGCAAGGTCTTCAATCAGAAATCCAACCTTAAAAGTCATCAGAGAGTGCATACTGGAGAGAAACCTTACAAATGTCCTGAATGTGGCAAGGTCTTCAGTACAAGTCACACCTAGCAAATCATCAGAGAACCCATTCTGGAGAGAAACCATTCCAATGTGATGAATGTGGCAAGGTCTTCAGTCACAGTTGCTACCTTGCACAACATCTGATAATTCATACTGGGGAAAAACCTTTTAAATGTAATGAATGTGGCAGGGTCTTTAGTCACAGATCATACCTGGCAAATCATCAGAGAATCCATACTGGAGAGAAACCTTACAATTGCAGTGAATGTGTTAAAGTGTTCAGTCATAGGGCATCCCTAGCAAAGCATCAAAGAATCCATACTGGAGAGAAACCATATGAATGTAATGAATGTGGTAAAGTGTTCAGTTGTAACTCACACCTTGCAGAACATCTGATAATTCACACTGGAGAGAAACCTTTCCAATGTAATGAATGTGGCAAGGTGTTCAGTCGCAGTTCCCATCTTGCTCGTCATCATAGCATTCATACTGGAGAGAAACCTTACAAATGTTGTGAACGTGGAAAGGTCTTTAGTCAGAATTCATACCTTGCATGTCATCAAAGAATTCATACTGGAGAAAAACCTTACAAATGTAATGAATGTAGCAAAGTATTCAGTCTAAACTCATCTCTAGCACACCATTGGAGAATTCATACTAGAGAGAGACCTTACAAATGTAATGAGTGTGGCAAGGTCTTCAGTCAAATATCACACCTTGTAAATCATTGTAGAATTCACAGTGGAGAGAAAACATACAAATGTAATGAATATGGAAAAGTGTTCCATCAAATTTCACATCTTGCCCAACATCAAGTAATTCATACTGGAGACAAATCTTTCAAATGTGATAAATGTGGCAAGGTGTTTAGTCAGAATTGCTACCTTGCACAACATTGGCGAATTCACACTGGAGAAAAACCTTTCAAATGTAGTGAATGTGGCAAGGTCTTCAGTCATAAGTCATACCTAGCAAATCACCAGAGAATCCACACTGCAGTGAAACCTTACAGATGTAATGAATGTGGCAAGGTCTTCAATCAAATTTCACACCTTGCAAATCACTGTAGAATTCACACTGGAGAGAAACCATACAAATGTAATCAATGTGGAAAAATATTTGATCAAATTTCACATCTTGCCCAACATCAAACACTTCACACTGGAGAGAAACCTTTCAAATGTAATGAATGTGGCAAGGTATTTAGTCACAACTCCTATCTTGCACAACACCTTATAATTCATACTGGAGAAAAGCCTTTGAAATGTAATGAATGTGGCAAGGACTTCAGACACAAGTCATACTTAGCAAGTCATCAGAGAATCCATACTGGAGAGAAACCTTACAAATGCAGTGAATGTGCCTATGTTTTCAGGTATAGATCATCTCTAGCAAAGCATCAAAGAATCCATACTGGGGAGAAACCTTAAAAATGTAATGAATATGTTGAGGTCTTTAGTCAAATTTGATATCTTGTACACCAGAGGACTCAAAGCGGAGAAAAATCTTACAAATTCAATGAGTGTAGCAAAGCTCTTAGTGTGTGATTAGGTCTAAGCGTGTAATTCATGCTGGAAAAAATATGGCAAGGTCTTTCTTCACAATTCCTAACTTAGAATTCATTGGAGATATCATCCTGGAGAGAAAGTAGTGAATGAGGCAGAAGTCTTCAGTGTGTGAGTCTTAGCAAACATTGGACTATTCCTGCTGGAAGATAATTTTCATATGTAATAAATAAGGCAATCCTTGAATTATCATTTAAGTCTTACTAACCATAAGCTAATCCATAGTGGAGAGAAAATTTACCAATATATTGGATGTAACAGTCTCTTAAGGTGAAAATCTGACATTAGTATTCACCAAAAAATTTACACAAGAAAGAAACAAATGGAATGAGAGTCACGAATCTTTTAAGTATGTGTTCAATCCTAAGTATACATCAGAAAGTATATATTTAAAAAAAAAACCTTAGAAAAATGTAATCAGTTTGGAAAATCCTGTCTTCAGTGTTCACACTTCAGTATACATCAGATAACGCATACTGGAGAGAAACCATAGAAAAGTGATGAATGTGCACATTCACACCTTGCATTTGTACGTGACTGGTACATTAGAAATGCAATGAGGATGGCTAAAACTTCATGATGATTTCCAGCAATAATCAACATCCCAATTCCTACTAAAGAGCTGTTGGAGTTGTTCGAGATGCGAAGAAGTCAGACCATGAGAATGCAGTTAAGTGGACGAGCAGAGGGCTGCACCTCTCGAGAAACAGCAGCTTGCCTCTGTTGCCCATGTCTTTTATTGAAGTGGTGCACAATGCGAGCGTGAGAAATGTGAGAGATTACAACCAAGGCCTTGAAGCTGTTTTTTAGGAATAACATCTTGAAAGCTTTCATATCTAATCTTGAGCTTTCCCAGAGCGGAATACTCACACCCTTGGGCGTCATAGTTCCTGGAAAAGAAGGAGCATCGCATGCAATGCTCCCTGGATGTTATCTCACATGCGAGAGAACATCTGCTGTTCCTGGGAATGTTTCCCCAGAGTTCACCTTAAATTTAACTTGTCCTGAAACAACGTTCTTCTCTACACTTCCCCCTTTTGTTTTTGCTTCATTCTATGGATCATGAGCGACAATACAGCGGATTGTTGATTAAAAAAAAAAAAAAGAGACTTTCAACTGAACTTTTAGTGTGAGTTTTGTGCTTTTTATTTGCAGTTTTTATCTTTGGTCCTTTTTTTCTTCAAAATCTCTATTTACATGTTCATTCATATCCGGCATTGCCTTCCTTAATTTATTCAACCACTTATTTGTATTCTCTTCGATTTCTTTGAACTTTCAAAAAGTCATACTTTTAATCCTTTGGCATTCTTTCCACTTCAGTTTCTTTGAAATATGTTACTATTTGTTACTATGGTGTTGTGATGTATTTTAATTAATTTTATTGATGGATTTTAGGTATACATAATGATCACAGTCATCATAATGTACCTATACATTATATATCTTAATTCTTTTTTCCCTGTTCCTTTCCCCTCTCTTCAACTCCTCTTCCCCCCTTATTTACAAAAGCTTCCTATTTTTTCTTCTATTCTCTAAATTTTTCTCAGTGTAAAGATGTAGTATGAGATGATAAATTACTTTTTGTGTGTGTGTTTCTGTGTTGAGATTTGTGCCTCTATTGGGATGGATGTTACTTCTACTTTGGTGTGTTGACCTTCATGGTATTCATCCTTCTTCCAATATGATTTGGGATATCTGTGTATTGTGTAATGTTGATTTTACTTTTAACTAGAATCCATAATGTAATCTCCCTAAATCTTCTTTGGTTTGTGATTCATTGGTTTTGGCATATAATGTGCCATGTTGAGGCCAGAGAGACATTTTGTTTGTATAAGAGTTATAAAAATGGAGATAATCTAGTACTTCAGGCAGATGTAGTTAGGCAGCAGAATATCTGGGTTGTACTTTCTGTGGGTACTCTTATTCTGAGAGTGGTATCCCCTTTCAGGAGTGGGGATTTCTACAGATGCTCTTAGTTAAAATTCTGATGCTGGTTACTACAGTCATGCTAGAGGTCTTGAAGCTCTTGCCCACTGCTTGGATACTAGTGTATATTTAGATGCTTCTTGAGAAGGAGTAGGGGCTGGAATCATAATTTCTCCTCTGTAGGTCTCATCTTCAATCTGATTAGCTACATGGGATTTGACCAGGTGCAGCTGAGATCAGTGTAGAAGACATGCATAGGTGCACTGTGAGAAACTCTTGGCTTTCTTTTTTCTCTCTCCAGCTTTTGTGGGAGTGTTGTCCAAAAAGCTGCAGCCCAGATTCCCCCTAGGTATGCTTGCCTGGGTAGAGATTTTCAGCTGGAAGCTTGGATCCCCCCTTTTAAGCTGAAGTATCCTTTAGGTTTAGAGTGTTGCCAGGTTGTAGCTGGAATTGGCTTAATTCATCTCAGCTGAGCTGGGAGTGCAGCTCAGAGGTTGAGCTATGATGTACAGAAGTCCTTGGGCTCAATTCTCAATGTGGAAGGGAAAGAGGGATGGAGGGAAGGAGAGACAGAAGGGGGTAGTAAAGGACAACAATTATAAATTTTTTTGAAAAAAGAAAGGAAAAATGAACATAGAAATTAAAAAATATAAGAGATAATAGAAAAAAGAGTGAAAAATTTCTCCTATTCAGAGTGCTTGGAAATGCTAGTGAGGACAGCTAATCATGCACTATGCTGATCTAACCTCTCACAGTGTTCTAAGATTGGGATCTACCAAGTATAGCAGGGTAGAGATTTGCAGCTGTTTCTTGTTGAAAATTCTCTCAGCTCTCACAAAAAATGTATGTTGCAGTAGCCATTTCTTGTCCAGCAGGCTAATGCAGAATGTTGTCCTGCCAAGGGTATATTCCTTCCAGGGCATTTTAAGAACATAAGTTGCACTAAGGCAGTATTTGATTCCCTTGCCCATTATAAAAAGAGGTTGTTCAAGGTTGCGAGTTGTGTGGAACATGCCGAATCAGCC